CTTTCCCAACAGTCTTGAAGGAGTTCCCACATATTCTGAGCACTTGTTGGCTGCTTTTCCTTCACTCTGCGGTCCGACTCATCCCAAACCATCTCAATTTGGTTGAGGTCGGGGGATTGTGGAGGCCAGGTCATCTGATGCAGCACTCCATCACTCTCCTTCTTGGTAAAATAGCCCTTAAACAGCCTGGAGGTGTGTTGGGTCATTGTCCTGTTGAAAAACAAATGATAGTCCCACTAAGCCCAAACCAGATGGGATGGCGTATCGCTGCAAAATGCTGTGGTAGCCATGCTGGTTAAGTGTAAATCACAGACAGGGCCACCAGCAAAGCACCCCCACACCATAACACCTCCTCCTTCATGCTTTACGGTGGGAAATACACATGCGGAGATCATCCATTCACCTACACGCGTCTCACAAAGACACGGTGGTTGGAACCAAAAATCTCCAATTTGGACTCCAGACCAAAGGACACATCTCCACCGGTCTAATGTCCATTGCTCGTGTTTCTTGGCCCAAGCAAGTCTCTTTTTATGATTGGTGTCCTTTAGTAGTGGTTTCTTTGCAGAAATTCGACCATGAAGGCCTGATTCACACAGTCTCCTCTGAACAGTTGATGTTGAGATGTGTCTGTTACTTGAACTCTGTGAAGCATTTATTTGGGCTGCAATTTCTGAGGCTGGTAACTCTAATAAACGAATCCGCTGCAGCAGAGGTAACTCTGGGTCTTCCATTCCTGTGGCGGTCCTCATGAGAGCCAGTTTCATCATAGCGCTTGATGGTTTTTGCGACTGCACTTGAAGAAACCTTCTTGAAATGTTCCGTATTGACTGACCTTCATGTCTTAAAGTAATGATGGACTGTCATTTCTTGTTGCTTATTTGAGCTGTTCTTGCCATAATATGGACTTGGTCTTTTACCAAATAGGGCTATCTTCTGTATAACCCCCCTATCTTGTCACAACACAACTGATTGGCTCAAACGCATTAAGAAGGAAAGAAATTCCACAAATTAACTTTTAAGAAGGCACACCTGTTAATTGAAATGCTTTCCAGGTGACTCCCTCATGAAGCTGGTTGAGAGAATGCCAAGAGTGTGCAAAGCTGTCATCAAGGCAAAGGGTGGCTATTTGAAAAATATATTTAGATTTGTTTAACACTTTTCTGGTTACTACATGATTCCATATGTGTTATTTCATAGTTTTGATGTCTTCACTATTATTCTACAATGTAGAAAATAGTAAAAATAAAGAAAAACCCTTGAATGAGTATGTGTTCTAAAACTTTTGACCGGTAGTGTATACCATGTAGAACAAACGTGTCATTGAGAAACTCATTTAAATTAGATCAGATAGGTGTGTTGTAACTGTTGCCAAATAAAGACAAACACCCAAACCACTGTCCCAATAAGGGATATCTCTAGGGAGTGTGCTAATTGGGTCAGTATAGTTAGTCCCTGTCCAGAAGAAACCCTAACCCCTCCTCCCTAGGCACTTATGTAATGAAACAACTTGATATGTAAGCAATAGGGGGAATGCACTTTGAAGTAAATCTCAGCTCTGTTAAAAGTACACAAAAAAAACTATTTTATTGATAATAGTGATTCAGGAGTATCATTATAACAGGTTACCATGCCCCACCAACATTAGACAACTATACAGAAATCGCTTAAATAGCTAAAATAAACTAATCAAATCAATGATGAGAATAGTCAGATTAACCAATACCTGACACAGACATGGTGGCGTAGCAGGAAGACCTGAATGTGGTGAACTAAGAGGTTGTCAGTTTAAATCCCAGTTGAGGACATGTTGAATAATAATGACTGTACGTCATTGTACGTTGAAAACACTATGTTAAAAGCACTGTGTGAGAGTATCCCTAACCTTGCCAACAGACAAAGAGCTGTGAATGGATCACTGGTTCACCAATGAGGGCCTTGATTGCCTTGGCAACAGTAACAAGGCGTGATGTGAAATTAAACATGTTTTTTTGAGGGGGAGAACGTTTCTTTGGGACCATCAGGCGACGTCCTGACAACTGATACGCAGAAATGTTCCTGCAACGTTCACATGAAACGTGTCTAGAACATTAATATCTTATGTTCTGAGTACATGGCAACCATATTCTGTGTATGTTTGGTGGGACATTGATGGAATATTCTTCTAGCCCTCAGAAAACTGGACACATGAATGTTCATGCAACGTTCCCATGAAACGCGTCTAGAACATTAATATCTTATGTTCTGAGGACATGGCATCCAGAACATGGCAACCATGTTCTGCATATGTTTGGTGGGACGTTGATGGAATATTCTCCTAACCCTCAGTAATGTGGTCACATGAATGTTCTTGCAACATTTCCATGAAACATGTCTAAAACATTAATATCGTAAGTTCTGGGGACATGGTAACCACGTTCTGTCTAAGTTCAATTTTACATGAAGGGGATGGTCACTTGTAAACATTCCTTGCACATCACGGGAACCTTCCTATGAAAACATTAGTTAATGACCTAAACAGACTCTTAAGGGAACCTTCTTTGAAGTTGTGGGAACATTTGTTGTTAGCTGGTATGTGCAATACATCTGCAGAGCTTGCCAGGGAAGTTAAGTATGCTGCACAAGAACACTAGAAACAATACTGGTTGTAACACATCCCAAACAACCCCAAACCTCCAAAGTACGAAAGTATCCCCCTTGGCATTTTTCCTATTTTGTTGCATTACAACCTGTAATTTAAATTGATTTTTATTTGGATTTCATGTAGTGGACATACACAAAATAGTCCAAATTGGTGAAGTGAAATGAAAAAAATAACTTGTTTCAAAAAATTATAGAAAATAAATAACGGAAAAGTGGTGCGTGCATATGTATTCACCCCCTTTGCTATGAAGCCCCTAAATAAGATCTGGTGCAACCAATTACCTTCAGAAGTCACATAATTAATTAAATAAAGTCCACCTGTGTGCAATCTAAGTGTCACATGATCTGTCACATGATCTCAGTATATATACACCTGTTCTGAAAGGCCCCAGAGTCTGCAACACCACTAAGCAAGGGGCACCATCAAGCAAGCGGCACCATGAAGACCAAGGAGCTCTCCAAACAGGTCAGGGACAAAGTTGTGGAGAAGTACAGATCAGGGTTGGGTTATAAAAAAATATCAGAAACTTTGAACATCCCACGGAGCACCATTAAATCCATTATTAAAAAATGGAAAGAATATGGCACCACAACAAACCTGCCAAGCTGGGCCGCCCACCAAAACTCATGGACCAGGCAAGGAGGGCATTAATCAGAGAGGCAACAAAGAGAACAAAGATAACCCTGAAGGAGCAGCAAAGCTCCACAGCGGAGATTAGAGTATCTGTCCATAGGACCACTTTAAGCCGTACACTCCACAGAGCTGGGCTTTATGGAAGAGTGGCCAGAAAAAAGCCATTCCTTAAAGAAAAAAATAAGCAAACACGTTTGGTGTTCGCCAAAAGGCATGTGGGAGACTCCCCAAACATATGGAAGAAGGTACTCTGGTCAGATGAGACTAAAATGTAGCTTTTTGGCCATGAAGGAAAACGCTATGTCTGGCGCAAACCCAACATCTCTCATCACCCCGAGAACACCATCCCCACAGTGAAGCATGGTGGTGGCAGCATCATGCTGTGAGGATGGTTTTCATCGGCAGGGACTGGGAAACTGGTCAGAATTGAAGGAATGAAGGATGGCACTAAATACAGAGAAATTCTTGAGGGAAACCTGTTTCAGTCTTCTAGAGATTTGAGACTGGGATGGAGGTTCACCTTCCAGCAGGACAATGACTGTAAGCATACTGCTAAAGCAACACTCGCGTGGTTTAAGGGGAAACATTTAAATGTCTTGGAATGGCCTAGTCAAAGCCCAGACCTCAATCCAATTGAGAATCTGGTATGAATTAAAGATTGCTGTACACCAGCGGAACCCATCCAACTTGAAGGAGCTGGAGCAGTTTTGCCTTGAAGAATGGGCAGAAATCCCAGTGGCTAGATGTGCCAAGCTTATAGAGACATACCCAAGAGACTTGCAGCTGTAATTGCTGCAAAAGGTGGCTCTACAAAGTATTGACTTTGGGGGGGGGGTGAATTATGCACGCTCAAGTTCTGTTTTTTAGTGTTATTTCTTGTTTGTTTCACAATAAAAAATATTTTGCATCTTGAAAGTGGTAAGCATGTTGTGTAAATCAAATGATACAACCCCCCCAAAATCTATTTTAATTCCAGGTTGTAAGGCAACAAAATAGGTGAATACTTTCGCAAGCCACTGTACATTTTCAAAACCCATACATCATGTTTTGTGTTCGATTCTAATGACTAAAACAAAGTGAATGTCTCTCCTGAGTTTTATTATATAATAAAAAGGATTGCTTTGACACAAATATTTTATTGATCATTTACATCATAAAGCTTTGCATATTATTACTTCGATAAAATATTTGAATGTACACAGTTCAAATACAGTTATATATTAGAAAATAAACTCTGGCTTTTGATAAAACCATACTGTATGTATAAAACACATGAAGCTACACCCTTTTGAGAAATGTACAGATCTGTCAGTCTGTCAGGGCGTGCTGTAGGTGCAATGGTGGAATCAAACGCAGGACTCAGAACGATATTCCAAATACTTGTATTACTGCCCATACATAGGCAAAAGGACAACTCGGCCCGAAGGCGAAGAATACGCACAACGGCGAAAAGAAACAGCGCACAAACAGGTGCGACAAAATGTAACCGCGCACAAACAGGTGCGATAATACTCCAGCGCAGTGGAGAGAAGCTCAACCGAGCAATACACACAACTGACGGAAAATAATTACACACAACACTAGACAAACACAACGAGAAACTTATAGGACACTAATCACGCCAAAACAGAAACAGGTGTGGAAACAAACAGACAAAAGCAAACGAACATGAAACATACATCGGTGGCAGCTAGAGTTCCGGAGACGACGAACGCCGAAACCTGCCCGAACAAGGGAGAGAGGCAGCCTCGGCCGAAACCGTGACACAGTCTTGATATCCGCTACACACCCTTTAAATGACTTCAAAATAACACAGGCACAGATTTGGAATAGTAAGGTAAAAGACAAAAAGAAAGCATTTGTGTAGTATATTTATGTGTGCCTACTGTATGTGTGGGTAATGCATGTCTCTGTTACTGCATAATCTCAAAGTCACAGCTTAATCTCAAAGTAAATCAGTAGGACGTGATATTGGAGCCTACTCTTCCCGTGATTTTCTGTGGCAGCCAATCCAGCATTTCAACCTATCAATGGTCATACTGAAGGAAAAAAAGCAATTTCTGATGCAGCCAGCCTCTATCTCAGAGCCACTCTCAGGGGACGGAGGAGGAGCTGTCAAATTCCAGTGATCCATTCTCCAGGGTTCCGTATCCGTTCATCTTCTTCAGTTTGAGCTGGTCGGGTTGGCCCAGACCCTGGGTCTCTGGCACCGCCTCCTTGGAGGCGAACATCTGGCTGATCTCCACAAACGTCTTGTTCTTGGTCTCGGGGATGACGAAGAACACGTAGGCAGCCACCGCCAGACACACGCAGCAGAACACCAGGTAGCAGTAGGACCCAGCGGACATCTGACACCAGGGAGGGAGGGACGGATGGACAGACAGACACAGGGTTTCGATTAGAATATTCATAGTGCTTGGCCCTGATTTGTGTTTTTTGCAAAGGCATTGGTCCTGAGGAGCAAAGGCATTGGCCATGCTGGGTGAAGGTGGACACCATGTTAGATAAGATGCCATGTTGAGTCTGGACCGAGGTCATGCTGGGTGGGAGCCAACACCTTGTCAAGTAAAGCCATGTAAGGAAGAAGCAGCGCCATGCTGAGGCCATGCAAAGTAGAATACCAGATTATTAAGTGAGGACAGAGGCCATATGAAGTGAGGGCAGAGGCAGTTGGTTACCTGTAGGAAGGGGAAGACGAAGCCCACTGTGAAGTTGGAAATCCAGTTGAGGGATCCTCCCACAGTGTAGGCTGCTGGCCGGTGAGACTGTTTAAACAGCTCCGCCGTTATCAGGAAAGGAACACCCGCTACAATACATACACTGACCGTTAGTACACTGCACACACACACACACATTCAACCTATAATTACAGTCCATATACAAACACACACTATGTAAACACACTGACAGGTGATTCCCTTGGGCGAGTGCCAGGGTAAAGTGATAAAGGGGCTTTAAGAAGAGCTCTTTATCTACTGTAGCTACATATCCAGGAAGTAAGGAAGGGGGGGGGGGGGTAACACTTTACAGTATATGAAGGGGTTATACACTACCAGTCAAAGGTTTTAGAACACCTACTCATTCAAGGTTTTTCCTTTATTTTTACTATTTTCTACATTGTAGAATAATAGTGAAGACATCAAAACTATGAAATATTACACATATGGAATAATGTAGTAACCAAAATTATTCAAATAGCCACCCTTTGCCTTGATGACAGCTTTAAACACTCTTGGCATTCTCTCAACCAGCTTCATGAGGTAGTAGTCACCTGTAATGCATTTCAATTAACAGGTGTGTAATTTGTGGAATTTATTTCCTTCTTAATGCGTTTGAGCCAATCAGTTGTGTTGTGACAATGTGGGTGGGGGGTATACAGAAAACAGCCCTATTTGGTAAAATACCTAGTCCATATTATGGCAAGAACAGCTCAAATAAGCAAAGATAAATTACAGTCCATCATTACTTTAAGACATGAAGGTCAGTCAATATGGAACATTTCAAGAAGTTTCTTCAAGTGCAGTCGCACAAACCATCAAGCGCTATGATGAAACTGGCTCTCATGAGGACCGCCACATGAACGGAAGACCCAGAGTTACCTCTGCTGCAGAGGATAAGTTCATTAGAGTTACCAGCCTCAGAAATTGCAGCCCAAATAAATGCTTCACAGAGTTCAAGTAACAGACACATCTTAACATCAACTGTTCAGATGGAGACTGTGTGAATCAGGCCTTCATTGTCGAATTTCTGCAAAGAAACCACTACTAAAGGACACCAATAAGAAGAAGAGACTTGCTTGGGCCAAGAAACCGTTAGACCGGTGGAAATTTGTCCTTTGGTCTGGAGTCCAAATTTGAGATTTTTGGTTCCAACCGCTGTGTCTTTGTGAGACGCGGTGTGGGTGAACAGATGATCTCTGCATGTGTATTTCCCACCGTAAAGCATGGAGGAGGAGGTGTTATGGTGTGGGGGTGCTTTGCTGGTGACACTGTCTGTGATTGATTTAGAATTCAAGGCACACTTAACCAGCATGGCTATCACAGCATTCTGCAGCGATACGCCATCCCATTAGGTTTGGGCTTAGTGGGACTATCACTTGTTTTTCAACAGGACAATGACCCAACACACCTCCAGGCTGTGTAAGGGCTATTTTACCAAGAAGGATAGTGATGGAGTGCTGCATCAGATTACCTGGCCTCCACAATCCCCCGACCTCAACCAAATTGAGATGGTTTGGGATGAGTCGGACCGCAGAGTGAAAGAAAAGCAGCCAATAAGTGCTCAGCATATGTGGGAACTCCTTCAAGACTGTTGGAAAAGCATTCCAGGTGAAGCTGGTTGAGAGAATGCCAAGAGTGTGTAAAGCTGTCATCAAGGCAAAGGGTGGCTATGTGAAGAATCTCAAATATATTTTGATTTGTTTAACACTTTTTTGGTTACTACATGATTCCATATGTGTTATTTCATAGTTTTGATGTCTTCACTATTATTCTACAATGTAGAAAATAGTAAAAATAAAGAAAAACCCTTGAATGAGTAGGTATTCTAAAACTTTGACTGGTAGTGTACATAACAACTTTATGAAACCAGTCATAACACCTTTATGAGTGTTGCAGTATAATTCATAACAACCTTCATAAAACATTTATTCAACAGTATTCATAAGGAGTTTTCTAAATAAAATTCCCCTCGAATAAAATGTTAATCTTCCATTGTAAAATGTCACAGTACCCCTGACACACTATTCACGCACTAGGCTGGGAGCAGCACACGGTCAGCCTTACAGTATTACCTTGATTGAGCTTGGTGCAATGAAATCAATGGAATAGTCCCAAAAGTGTAAACCCAACCTGCCAATCTGGCACTCCAGGCAGGCTCAAGCAAACGTTCAGGCAAACTATTTAAACCCAGCTCTGGATGGCACCTGAGCAATTGTTTGCCATTGTAATGTGGTAGTACGCCATCTAATCCCGTTTGGTCACAAGTGATGAATATGCAACGCCTTGTGTTACTACACTGCTAATGACCATTTGAATGAACATGAGCCCAGGCTGCATTATTTGTGCATAATTATTTGTGCCTCATCATTGTGGGTGGCGGAGGAATAACACTTTTAGACTGATGAGGAGTTAGGCCCCCGATTCATTACTCATCTTGATTTTCTGTTGAGCGGCAGCATTCATCACCTTTCTGACCAATGAGGCGTGAGGAGGCCTAATTAATGACAGGATCCCAGACAGAATGAGCCAATCCACTAAGGACCAGAGGGGGGTGTAGTCGGGTATGTACATACATACGTCCCTCTACAGAACACTCTCATTTGTCTCTCTTATAGGGGATATAGACTTAATCATCATCACACACAGGCAGATAATCAGGAGATTAGAGCAAGGCCATTGGCTGCATTTACAAGCTCTCAATTTTTACCTCCAGAGGGCGCCATTTCCATACACAGCAGCAAAGTGCACCGGGGTCGGACACCAGCAAATCTGGCAATGAAACCTGGATGTGTGTGTGTGCGTGCGCGTGCGTGCTCTCTGCTCAAATGAATGGAAAGTAAATTCATATTTGAAAGGAGAAGAGTAAGATAGAGTAGGTAGAAGAATGCAGCTCACCTGGCCCAATGCAAAAACCAGCGATGATACCAACCACACATCCAACACTGACATAACGCATGAATGGTAAGTGAACCTGTAAGCATAGTGTAGTAGAAGACATAAGACGTCATGACCTCACTTAGTCAGTATATTCCATAAGGAGATTTCTATTATAGTTGGCCACATGCACTCTTAAATCTCGACCAGGTACAGCCAGAAGAGGACTGACCACTCCTCGGAGCCTGGTTCCTCTCTAGGTTTCTTCTTATAGGTTCCTGCCTTCTAGGGAGTTTTTCCTGGCCACTGGCCATTGCTTGCTCTTTTGGGGTTTTAGGCTGGGGATCTGTAAAGCTCTTTGTGACAACTGCTGATGTAAAATAGCTTTATAAAATAAATTTGATTGATTGATAGAATATACTAAAGTACTCTGTTGTATCAGAAGGATGGAATTAATATAGTAAAAACACAAATGCAGTGCACCCTCCCACCCACACACCACCACAAATACACACCTGTAGAACGAGGGAGAGAGTGATCCCAGCGCAGCAGAATCCCATGACTAGAAACCCCCCGATGATGAGAGGCCTCCTGCCCAGCTTCTCTATGGTAAAACACTACAGAGAGAGAGACAGAGACAGAGACAGAGACAGAGACAGAGACAGAGACAGAGCAGAGAGAAACACGAGATACAAAGAGACAGAAAGCAACAAAACATTAATAACAGATCCATAAAAAAATTATGACAGGGCAAACTTCCAACCAATCCTATGCCTCCTCCATAGACTCACCCCAATGAGGCCGGCGATGATCTCAATGGCTCCTGTACCCACTGTAGTGTACTGAATCTCTGGGCCTGGGATGCCCGCGTTCTTAAAGATGTCGTTGGTATAGAACCAGAGCTACAATAGAGACAGACACTTTTGAGCTTGAGGGGCATGGGCACAAGTGGGACAGCCTGGCACAGGTGGCACAGCATGGGCACAGAGTAACAGTGGACAACCACTCACATTCAATTCATTTCAATTTGGGGCTTTGGGGAGGTTGACTCCAGACAGGGGGGGTAATCAGCAGTCGGAGCAGTTGGAGGTAGTGTGAAACCAACACACACACAAGTATACACACCCATTAAACACACTAATACACTCCTCTACTCACAGAACAGTGTCAAGGCTTGCCACCTGTCACTTCCACTTAGCCTACAGCTCACCTCTGCGTGATACCATCATCACCATCACCACCATCTTCATCCTCACTACCTGTGTTTCAGCGCTGCCTCAAATAGATTGCCAAAGCTAATTAGCTGCTAAAAATACATTGCAGAGATGAGTCTGCTAATTAGTTCAGCTCTGATGGGTAAAATGTGCACTTCTTGGCCCCAGTGTCCTGGTAATCATTTGAATAATGAATGCATCTCAGTAGCATAATTCAGGAAGGGATTTAGCTAATCGTATCTCTGTTAAATGATGACTCGTAGTTTTGGGTTCTCACCACATGATCACATGAGGCTTGTAAAAGATGAGGAATAATTTATTCTGCCTTTCAACTGAGCCTCTTAGTGTAGTGGGCCCGACTACAGTGTAGTGGGTGAGGAGTATGGGTGAGAGGGGGAAGAAGGTGAGAGAGGGAGGAGAGAGGGAGAAAGGGAGAAGAGGGTGAGTGTAGGAGAGAGAGAGGGTGAGAGAGGGATAAGAGGGGGAGTGTAGGAGAGAGAGGGTGCGAGAGGGAGGAAAGGACATGCGAATGACAGAATGAGAAGGGTGTGGTAGGGTGAAAATGGTTTAGGTAGAGAGAGGGCAAGGAGTGCTAAAAAAGAGGAGGAGGAGTAACAGAGGGATAGAGAGATAAGAAAAGGAGAGGCGCACTATAGCAAACAGCTGAGTAATCTTACAGCATCAATGCCGGAGAGCTGCATGCCGATGTTGATGACCACCACACTGAGCAGCTGCCAGCGCACCAAGGGGTCCAGTATCAGTCGCCATACCGACACTGTCTCCACTGACGACAGAGAGCGCTGCTCCTCCTGCATCTCCTCTATCTCTGACTGGATGTTACACTTGGCCCGGTACCACTTCAACGCTGATGTAGGAAATAAAACAGGAAGTTACACTGAACCAGGCAATGACAATGCTTGTGTATCAAATGAAAATTAAATATGACTTGAACTTTGTTATTCATGGTTAACTAAACAGTTTGGCACATGACTAGAATTTACAATGTTGCCAAAGGAAATAAGCATAGCCATGAGGTTACACTATTCACACTCTAAGTATGTGTCCCTGTCCCAATGGTGTCATCTAGCATGCTGACCTGTAATGGTGGCGTGGACATTGTGCTTCTCAATCAGCAGGTATCGGGGGCTCTCCGGAAACCATGGCAACAGCATCAGCTGGATGAAGGTGGGTATCACCACCAGCGAGAGAAACAGGGGCCAGTGCTCCTCCTGTAACCATGACAAAACGACTCACAATCATAACCTACATCGCTGTACACCAGTGGAGGCTGCTGAGGGGAGGACAGCTCATAATAATGTCTGGAACTGAGCGAATGGAATAGCATCACTCATTCCGCTCCAGCCATTACCACGAGCCCGTTCTCCCAAATTAAGGTGCCACCAACCTCCTGTGCTGTACACACATAACCCCAAAATGCAACACGCAAACCATTGAAAATTAATCCACCTTTCAATTTCAATGACACTGCAAATGACACATTTACATGAATAAAGATATGGATCTCTAAGCTTATGAATGCCACGTTTAAAGCTTTTCCTGGAAACGGTCTTTGGCGTACCTTTCCCAGAATTTCGTGTAGACCCAGGATCTGGGCAGAGAAGACCCCAGCACAAATGAAGAGGCTGGGCACGAGTCCCAGGAAACCACGCAGGTTCTTAGGAGCTATCTCCCCCAGGTACATGGGCACCACACTCAGAGAGATACCTACACAACACAACAACGACAACGTGTGTCAGGTGTCAGTGTGCAGCGGTAGGACAGAGTCAGGCGAGTAAATAACTAACTTTACTCAGATAAACAATAAAATCGAATTTCCACCCAGGGAAATACAAATGCTCACAACAGTACATAACACCAAACAAAGAACAATCACGCACAAAACCATGAGGGAAGCAGAGGGTTAAATAGGGAAATAATCATAACGTGATGGGAACCAGGTGTGTACAATCAAGACAAAACAACATAGAAAAAGAAACGTAGATCAGTGGCAGTTAGAAGACCGGTGACGACGACCGCCGATAGCCGTCCGCACAAGGAGAGGCACCAACTTCGGCGGAAGTCGAGAAAGACTCAACAGTGAGCAAACATTCACCTTCTTTTTATTGCTACATTCATAACTTTGTCCAGCTACTGTGCCACATTTATATGTATAGATTCCTGACCATGGCCCATTCCTGAACCTTCACCCTTATCCTAAACCTTAACTCTCACCCCTGAACATGACCCTTCTCACTGAGTGGGCACACTGGTGTGTTTGTACCTGAGTGGATCCCCGTGACGAAGCGGCCAAAGATGACCATCTCTGGAGAGCCACAGATCCTGCTGAAGCCCATGAGTGATCCAGCGATGAACACCAATACCGTTGAGTTCACCACCGTGCCTTTCCTATACACACACACACACACACACACACACACACACACACATTATGGTTGGCTCTGTCCACCATTAAAACGTGTAGATGATCAGAACCAGCTAATTAATGTACCAAACACAAAACAGTTGGATTTATGAATTTGCACAAGCTGTGCATAAAAGTACATGGACCAGAAGCAATAGCAGGCACACCTTTATTACTTCTATGACATAGAGTAGTAAAGTCTCCCCCTGATATACAGTCAGGGAGGGCATTTTGAGTTCTGATCACCCATAAAACACTGTTGGGTGATGAAACTGATCAGCTCATAACTGGGCTTGTAAATCGTTCTCTTTCATTTGCATGTAAATGTCCATTTAGATAAATGAGATCTAAGCCTGCACTGAATATAAAAAACTCTTTAGAGAGCTGGCCATAGGGGACAGAGAGTGCACTGACTGCACTCCAAAGGGTATTAGGGATCCTGAGTGGCGCAGCGGTCTAAGGCACTGCATTGCAGTGTTAGAGGCGTCACTACAGACCCGGGTTTGATCCCGGGCTGTATCACAACCGCCCGTGATCGGGAGTCCATTGGGCGGCGCACAATTGGCCCAGCGTCGTCCGGCTTAGTGGAGGTAGGCCGTCATTGTAAATAAGAATTTGTTCTTAACTGACTTGCCTAGTCAAATAAAGGTTAAAAATAGGGGACAGAGAGTGTGCCCTTTAAAGGGTAGAGGGAACAGAATGAGTGTAGCCCATATGGTCGCTTGTACAATGAGTTTGAACTCTAAATGGCACAGGGTAACTATGCACTCCGACAGGATGGACAGTATGCACTCTGAAGGGCAGAGGAGAGCAAGGGAGGGAGGGCAGGGTAATCCCTGGGGTCAGAGGGCAGAAGGTCACTCAGGGGTGATAGATGGAAGCGCTGCTAATTGTGTGTGTGTGTGAGACTAGCTCAGAGTGCCAGGCAGGGTGGCAGTGCCCAGAGCTCCAGATGCTGCAGTGTGTCTCTGAGGCTGTTCTTGCCAGCAGCCACAGAGTCTGGAGGGCTCAGCCATTGGCCAAAACCAAATCAAAGGTCTTCAAAGGACAGCACTTTCCAAATCTATACAGATGAACACTGACTCAAATGGGGAGCAGACAATATTCAACTTATAAAACCCAATACATTACAATGGAATCATACTGTGTAAAACCTGTATGGGAGTGAGTGTATGGGGAGTGTGTGAGGGTCTCACCTGCCGAACCTGGTGACGAGCATGCCCACCATGAGGGATCCCAGTAGACCCCCAATGGCAAAGACAGACACGGTGAGAGAGTACATGAGGGTCAGAGCCTCCCCATCCAGCCCTGTACCATTACGACTCACTGACGTCCTGTTGTAGAAGTCTTTAATGTACTGCCGGAGAGAGATAGAGAGATAGAGAGAGAAAGAAAGAGGGGAGAGAGGAATGGAAAGCGTATAACAGTATTACTACTGTTAATCACTATGATTTATTTAATTTGTTCCTGTGCTCTTGCTTTGGCAGTGTAAGATACCTATCATGCCAATAGAGCTCATTGAGTAGAATTCAATTGAGAGAGGGGCAAAGAGATGTTATCACATAACCCTCATGTGACACGATTCAAATTACTGTATGACACACAGTATGCCATACAGCATACAATGTGTTACATAATGTCACTAAGACCTCAATTTGTCACCAGAATCAAAATGTACAAAACACTCCCTAACTATCATTCTTACATTCCCAAAATGCCAATGCCAATGAGAAAGCCCCACTTACATTCAATCCATCTCTATCTGGCCAATCAGAGCCTATGGAGGGGAATGCAGAATCACAACCAAACTGGGAGTCCTTGTCATGTGGCCCATGCTTCTCCTCTCTCCCTGGCATTTTCAGGTCACAGACCAGGAATAATTAAATTCCACTGCTATGTCCTTTTTTACCTCAACCTCTTAATCCACAGTGTGTGTGTGTGTGTGTGTGTGTGTGTGTGTGTGTGTGTGTGTGTGTGTGTGTGTGTGTGTGTGTGTGTGTGTGTGTGTGTGTGTGTGTGTGTGTGTGTGTGTGCGTGCGTGCGTGCGTGCGTGTGTGTGTTTGTGTTCTGATTACAGTAATCTGACCTTAGTGTTTCGATTATACAAACAGAAATAAATGTTTGGTCATGCTCTATTTTACAGTTCACTTGACCAAGTATTGAAGCAATAGATCTGATGGCAGTGTTCCAACCATATCTCTACAGTTCCAACTATAGAATTGGAATGTACAACTGTTGGCTACGCTTTACTTTACAGTCCAGCTGTTAACCTTTTACTGCAGTGGGCTAAATCAGGGTCACACAGAGTGTTTCTTGGTAGTCTTAAACACATTTACTTTGGGAAGAAAAGTATACACTTCACACACATGGTAATAGTCAAACAAAAAAAAGAAGACACCTGTACCATGTCAGATATAGAGTTGAAATGTATTCAAATTTGAGTTTGCATCCCAATATTACAATTTATATACACTGAGTGTACAAAACATTAAGAACACCTTCCTTATGCTGGCCCACGTTGACTCCAATGCTTCCCACAGTTGTGTTAAGTTGTCTGGATGTCCTTTGGGTGGTGGACCATTCTTAATACACACAGGAAACTGTTGAGCTTGAAAAACCCAGCAGCGTTGCAGTTCTTGACACAAACTGGTTTGTTTCAATCTTTTGTCTTGCCCATTCACCCTCTGAATGGCACACATACACAATCCATGTCTCAATTGTCTCAAGGCTTAAAAATCCTTCTTTAACCTGTCTCCTCCCCTTCATCTACACTGATTGAAGTGGATTTAACAAGTGACATCAATAAGGGATCGTAGCTTTTACCTGGATTCACCTGGTCAGTATGTCATGGGAAGAGCAGGTGTCCTTAATGTTTTGTACTCTCAGTGTACATCACAGAAGACTGAAATATAACAAAACCGTTTGACATAGAAACACCGGATTTTCGGCAGGTTTTTTGATAGAATGTTTATTATTTAGGAAATTATGAAAAATATTAATAACATTCCACCCATGAGTCTACTTCCTTAAAAGTGTGACTGAGTGTTCTGATGAGTGTTAAAACATAGGAACCCGATGTAGAACAGCATGACATTTAAATGTAAGATTGACTTACATGGGAACTGATCCAAAAATGCTCATCTTGCTAAATCTTTCTAGTGGCTAGTTTAAAAAAAAAAAAACGTGTGGGTTGCAGTCACTCCTTGTCCATTGACTACTTTCAAAGTAAGATAACAAATATTTGTATACGGAAATTAATGTTAACAGTATTTGACAGATGTCTTAGCAAATACTGCACCAGCCAACACCAGTTGAAACAAGACTGTAGAGCAAGCATCTTACTGCTCCAAACCCCAACAACCAACACCCCAGTTATAGAGTTATTATAGCCTGTACTTGGGCTAAAGGGACAAAGAGACAATTGCCAATGACCCCAACAGTGGCCCTATAGCTGTGGGATACAATTAGCATTAGCTTTGGGCTGTGGGAGACAGTTACCATTAACTTTGGGCTGTAGGATACAGTTAGCATTAGCTTTGGGCTGTGGGAGACAGTTAGCATTAGCTTTAGGCTGTAGAATACAGTTAGCATTAGCTTTGTGCTGTAGGATACAGTTATCATTAGCTTTGGGCTGTGGGAGACAGTTAGCATTAGCTTTAGGCTGTAGAATACAGTTAGCATTAGCTTTGTGCTGTAGGATACAGTTAGCATCAGCTTTGGATAGACTGGATCTACAGTCATTCTAAATGCATGGCCTCAGCTGCATTCCTTCTGATAAAGAGCCTGGTTCCTCATTCAATCCACATTCCTGATGACAACAAACCCTTCACAGATGCACACACAGTTTAAACTACCTCACACTGACAAATCATTTTCATTTTAACTATCAGTGTAAACATTTAGGCTAAGCATCAGACTTTTACAAATATTTTTGTGAAAGCATGGACTCATCATGTTGAGCAGTATTAGATACAGCATTGGGGGTCTCACTCTATGATGTACATGAGGGTAAGAGCATAAGAGATACAGTGCAGTTGGAAAGTATTCAGACCCCTTGACGTTATAGCCTTATTCTAAAATTGATTAAATTGTTTTTTCACCTCATCAATCTACACACAATACCCGATAATGACAAAGCAAAAACAAGTTTTTAGAAAATGTTGCAAGTTTATTAAAAATAAAAAACGGAAATATCACATTTACATAAGAATTCAGACCCTTTAGTCAGTACTTTGTTGAAGCACCTTTGGCAGCGATTACAGCCTCAAGTCTTCTTGGGTACAGTGGTGACCCGTCATTCAGGGCAGGTGCAGAGCCCCACCTGTTTTGAGACCCACATTTTAGCTGTTTTGCATGTTATTTTGACATTAATACGTGTCACATTTCAGCTTGCAAACAATGTAAAACAAAATACAAAATCATTGAGTTAATAAACCCTCCACACAAACATGGTCTCTTTTTTGCTTTCTTGACTAAGGGAGCTCCAAAATGTAGGTGTTTCAGCCTAGCTCAGTGCTTTCTGTGGTTGTGGGGCAGCCAGCGGAAAATACGGAGCGTAGGGGTTGGTAATGTTCTCTAGTTGCGCCGTGATTGGCTCAGTGTTCTGTCACTCATGGGGACACTACGTCGCTGCCAAATCTAAGGGTAGAAGTTGAGTTACATTAGAAGTGCCAATCCAAGAAGGCTCAAGGTCATTGGCCACAGATAAAATGACGTCAAATCACGTTATATCTACAGTAGATTTGATTGGACTGATCATGTCAACATCATACTTTCAAAATCTTAGCTAGCAGTCATCATCAAGAATCAAGTCAACAATCTACTGGCAAATTATTTTTAATCCTTGTCATATGAAGAGAAATAATGAAGAGAAATTATAGATAAAACGTATCGGTGCTCATCAGCTATTGGACATAAACATTACACAACAAGTTGGAAATCGCAAATTCAACAATGAGGGGTTTGGAAGGAATCAGTGGCTAACTGCAAGCATTGCAAAGCAATCACTATCCTGATATTCAGTGGAGTGGATGTGTGGTCCCAATTCTGGGTTTAAGGGTCTCTTTTCCAAGCTTAAAATGATAAACATTCAACATTTGCCATGCTGTCAATCCAGCATGATTTCAGACACCCTCAAAACAACTGTTAACTTGGAACTGAGAAATTATGACTTCAGTGTAATCAAGACAACTGGGAACTCGGGAAAAAACAAGCCCTGACTGGGAAAATACGTTTTGAACGGTCATCCAACAGGACGTGTACTCCGAGCATCCACTGACCAACTGGCAAGTGTCTTCACTGACATTTTCAACCTCTCCCTGTCTGAGTCTGTAATACCAACATGTTTCAAGCAGACCACCATAGTCCCTGTGCCCAAGAAGGCAACCTGCCTAAATGACTACCGACCCATAGCACTCACGTCTGTAGCCATGAAGTGCTTTGAAAGGCTGGTCATGGCTCACATCAACACCATTATCCCAGAAACCCTAGACCCACTCAATTTGCATACCGCCCCAACAGATCAACAGATGATGCAATCTCTATTGCGCTCCACACTGCCCTTTCACACCTGGACAAAAGGAACACCTATGTGAGAATGCTATTCATTGACTACAGCTCAGCGTTCAACACCATAGTGCCCTCAAAGCTCATCACTAAGCTAAGGACCCTGGGACTAAACACCTCCCTCTGCAACTGGATCCTGGACTTTCTGACGGGCCACCCCCAGGTGGTAAGGCTAGGTAAAAACACATCCACCACGCTGATCCTCAACACGGGGGCCCCTCAGGGGTGCGTGCTCAGTCCCCTCCTGTACTCCCTTTTCACTAATGACTGCATGGCCAGGCACGACTCCAACGCCATCATTGAGTTTGCCGATGACACAGCGGTGATGGGCCTGATCACCGACAACGACGAGACAGCCTATGGGGAGGAGGTCAGAGACCTGGCCGTGCCAGGACAACAACCTCTCCCTCAATGTGATCAAGACAAAGGAGATGATTGTGGACTACAGGAAAAAGAAGAGGACCGAGCATGCCCCCATTCTCATTGACGGGGCTGTAGTGGAGCAGGTTGAGAGCTTCAAGTTCCTTGGTGTCCACATCACCAACAAACAAACATGGTCCAAGCACACCAAGACAGTCGTGAAGAGGGCACAACAAAACCTATTCCCCCTGAGGAGACTGAAAAGACTTGGCATGGGTCCTCAGATCCTCAAAAGGTTCTACAGCTGAACCATCAAGAGCATCATGACTGGTTGCATCACTGCCTGGTATGGCAACTGCTCGGCCTCCGACCGCAAGGCACTACAGAGGGTAGTGCGTACGGCCCAGTACATCACTGGGGCCAAGCTTCCTGCCATCCACGACCTCTATACCAGGCGGTGTCAGAGGAAGGCCCTAAAAATGGTCAAAGACTTCAGCCACCCTAGTCATATACTGTTCTCTCTGCTACCGCATGGCAAGCGGTACCAGAGCGCCAAGTCTAGGTCCAAGAGGCTTCTAAACATCTTCTACCCCCAAGCCATAAGACTCCTGAACATCTAATCAAATGGCTACCCAGACTATTTGCATTGCCCCACCCCTCTTTTACGCTGCTGCTACTCTCTGTTTATTATCTATGCATAGTCACTTTAATAACTCTACCTACATGTACATATTACCCCAATTACCTTGAGTAGCCGGTGCCCCCGCACATTGACTCGGTACCGGTACGCCCTGTATATAGACTCGCTATTGTTATTTTTACTGCTGCTCTTTAAATATTTGTTAGTTTTATTTCGTATTATTTTGTATTGTATTTTTGTGTGATTTTTTTTGGTATTCTTTCTTAAAACTGCATTGTTGGTTAAGGGCTTGTAAGTAAGCATTTCACTGTAAGGCTCCTGTAAATCGCTCTGGATAAGAGCGTCTGCTAAATGACTAAAATGTAAAAAATGTAAATGTAAGGTCTACACCTGTTGTATTCGGCACATGTGACAAATACAATTTTATTTTAATTGTAAATCGGGAACTCTGGCCTCTTCTAGAGCTACGACCTGAAGATCACTGACGTCATCATGATTCAACCTTGTTTTTTTCCGAGCTTCCAGTTGTCTTGAAAGCACCATAAATCCAGAGAATGTCATACTTTGATTACAAAGTTTGATGACCAAATTTGCCCACGAAGGACCGCCGTGCCACCTTCCTGTTCAAGTGAGCACAGCACAACTCACAAGGTGAGTCCAAAAATGTATTGTGTGCTGCTGCATAAATGATGTAATATGCCAGGGAGATATGTATACTGTAGCTAAGAAAGTTATACTAAGTATATGTTGTGTAGCAAGCTGTTAGTAGCCCATGTGCCTCACCCTAATAATTTGGTTTATTGTCCCCTCTTAATTTAGCCTACTGCTCCTCAGACTTGGTGGTGCACATGTAGCCTATAACCTGTGTTAGAGAAATGTAATAATCGAATATTGTAAGAGCTTTCATTGTCTGCTTATATGCCCCCTTTATTTATCCTACGGTTCTGACTTGGTGTACAGGGAGAACACTGTAAGAACGGCCCATGTTCTGAATTCTGTCGCTGTACATTTCAAAAGTGCTGAACAAATAGTTATATTGACTATGTCCGTCCTAGCTCGCTCATTAATGTCTTAATCGAAATCACGGATTGCCTCTTATACGCTTGTCGTCCCCTTATGCCATAGTTTGTACATCTCAATTGTCAGTAGAAACCACATTTGTTTAAGCATGTCAGCCATATCAGCTATGTTTTTTTTTAAGGCAGTAAATGAGGCTGAATTAACTGTTTCGCTGCCAGACAAGGCTCCGCTGATAGCCAGGTGTAGCAGTGGTAAGGTGTTGGGACTGCTGTTGGGACTCTGCTGTCGGGACAGCTTTATGTAGGCCCTAACAGTTTGTGGGCACCGTTTGTCACCGTTATAGTGCAATTAATGTTTTTTTTAGTGTTGTGTTGTGTAATGACTTTGCTGGCATGCATCCCCAATTTGTGTTTTTTGTTTGCCCCACCAAGATTTACATTCTAAATTCGCCACTGCTTGGGTATGACGCTACAAGCTTGTCACACATGTATTTGGGGAGTTTCTCCCATTCTTCTCTGCAGATCCTCTCAAGCTCTGTTTGGTTGGATGGGGAGCATTGCTGCACAGCTATTTTCAGGTATCTCCAGAGATGTTCAATCGGGTTCAAGTCTGGGCTGGAAGGTGAACCTTCGCTCAAGGACATTCAGAGACCTGTCCCGAAGCCACTCCTGCGTTTTCTTGGCTGTGTGCTTAGGGTCGCTGTCCTGTTGGAAGGTGAACCTTTACCCCTGTCTGAGGTCCTGAGCACTCTGGAGCAGGTTTTCATCAAGGATCTTTCTGTACTTTGCTCCGTTCATCTTTGCCTCGATCCTGACTAGTCTCCCAGTCCCTGCTGCTGAAAAACATCCCCACAGCATGATGCTGCCACCAGCATGCTTCACCGTAGGGATGGTGCCAGGTTTCCTCCAGACGTCACGCTTGGTATTCAGGCCAAAGAGTTAAATCTTGGTTTCCTCAGACCAGAGAATCTTGTTTCTCATGGTCTGAGAGTCTTTAGGTGCCTTTTGGCAAACTCCAAGTGGGCTGTCATGCCTTTTACTGAGGAGTGGCTTCTGTCTGGCCACTCTACCATAATGGCCTGATTGGTGGAGTGCTGCAGAGATGGATGTCCTTCTGGAAGGTTCTCCCATCTCCACAGAGGAACTCTAGAGCTCTGTCAGAGTGACCATCGGGTTCTTGGTCACCTCCCTTACCAAGGCCCTTCTCTTGCTCAGTTTGGCCGGGCGGCCAGCTCTAGGAAGAGTCTTGGTGGTTCCAAACTCCTTCCATTTAAGAATTATGGAGGCTACTGTGTTCTTGGGGACCTTCAATGCTGCAGATATTTGTTGGTACCCATCCCCAGATCTGTGCCTCGACACAATCCTGTCTTGGAGCTCTACGGACAATTCCTTCAACCTCATGGCTTGGTTTTTGCGCTGACATGCACTGTCAACTGTGGGACCTTATATAGACAGGTGTGTGCCTTTCCAAATCATGTCCAATCAATTGAATTTATCACAGGTGGACTCTAATCAAGTTGTAGAAAGATCTCAAGGATGATCAATGGAAACAGGATGCACCTGAGCTCAATTTCAAGTCTCATAGCAAAGGTTCTGAATACTTATGTAAATAAGGTGTTTCTGTTTTTTATATTTAATACATGTGAAAGAAATTATAAAAACCTGTTTTCGCTTTGTCATTATGGGGTATTGCATGTAGATTGATGAGGATTTTTATTTATTCAACCCATTTTAGAATAAGGTTGTAACGTAACAAAATAATGAAAAAGTCAAGGGGTCTGAATACTTTCCGAATGCACTGTATATGTGAGATGTATACTCATAATTCAAACTTCATAAATCTAATTGATGTCCATGGGAGATTTGTGTGGAAGGTCAATTTAAATTTAACTTCAACGATCACGCAAATCTCCATTGACATCAACAATACATGATTTGGGTGCGATTCTGGATTTCACAAGTTAGGCGTTGGCCGCAGCAGAGTATTCAATACAGGCAAGTATGGAATGTACAATGGAGAGAATATGACTGTAGTTCAATGGCCTTACCACTGCAGGGGAGTTGACCACTGCGAGGTTGTAGCCATAGAGCATGGAGCTTCCAAAGGAGGTGAGAAACGCTACCGCCAACAGAGATGAAGTCAGGTGCTGCAGAGAGAGAGAGAGAGAGAGAGAGAGAGAGAGAGAGAGAGAGAGAGAGAGAGAGAGAGAGAGAGAGAAAGGGAGATTATCTGAGATAAAATGTGTACGGTACACTTGTCATAAACCAACAGCTAATGTTTTATTACTTGGTTTGTACTCCAGCCTTTGCTCTTGATGAGTTCATTTGTGCTGTCATTTACAATCAAAGATTTAAGATTTGTGTGAATATGAATGACAGTCAAAGTTGTCTTTACTGTTGGGCTCTCATTCATCTCTTCCATGGCCTTTAGTTTGGAGGAATCCATGGGTCTGAGGAACTGTTGGTATAAGCCACATTAACTCTTAACATGTTAATTATATGACTGTATCTGGTGGAGAATCTGGAGAATCTATACATACACACACACACACAAAAGGGTATTACTATACTTGTGAGGACTTTTTGGGGACCAACAATTGATTCCCATTCAAAATCATATTTCCCCTAACCCTAAACCTAACCCTAACATTAACCTCAAACCCCTAACACTAACTCCTAACCCTAAACCTAACCCCTAAACCTATATTCTAACCCTAATTCTGACCATAACCCTAAACCTAATGCCTTAAACCTAAAATAGCCTTTTTCCTTGTGATGACCAGCCAAATGTCCCCACTTGTATATGGTGATGATCACTATTGGGATATTGATTTTATTTCAGGAAGATCCAAAACATCATGAATATCTTTGGGCCAATCTCATGTGGAAATGCCCACATATATGTTATTCCTCAGCCTGGTCTCATAGACTAGACGTATCATAGTAAAAGTAAATGAGTATGATATGTTATGTTTGGTATGGTTACATACACTCTTAGAAAAAAAGGGTTCTAAAAGGGTTCTTCCGGTGTCCCCATAGGATAACCCTTTTTGGTTCTAGGTAGAACCATTTTTGGTTCCAGGTAGATCCCTTTTGGGTTCCATGACATGGAACCCAAAAGGGTTCTACCTGGAACCAAAAAGTGTTCTTCAAATGGTTCTCCAACGGGGACAGCCGAAGAACCCTTTTAGGTTCTAGATAGCACTTTTTTTCCCAAGAGTGTAAGACAGAAGGTTACGTCTAGCAACCCAAAGGTTGCGTGTTCAAATCTCATCACGGACAACTTTCACATTTTAACTAATTAGCAACTTTTCAACTAACTACTTTTTAGCTACTTTGCAACTACTTAGCATGTTAGCTAACCCTTCCTCTAACCTTAACCCTTTTAGCTAACCCTTCCCCCAACCCTAACCCTAACCTTAACTCTTTAACCTAACTCCTAACCTTAACCCTAACCTTAACCCTAACCCCTAGCCTAGCTAACGTTAGCCAGCTAGCTAACGTTAGCATTAGCCACCTAGCTACCTAGCTAACATTTCCACAACAAATTGTAATTCATAACATATCATACGTTTTGCGAATTCTTAACATATTGTACATTTTGTAAATTTGTAACATATCATACAAATTGTGATTCGTAACATATCATCCAAAATGGATGATGGACATCCACAAATGAATACATACCATACGAAATGTAACATATTATACTAAAGGAGTGTCTCTGATTTACGTAGAGTATAATACGAAATGCTCTGAGACCAGGTTGCATTCCTTGTCTTTATCAAGAGGATAACATGCATTATGTTAGAGTTCAGGTCAGGAAAAAAATCATTAGTCAGTCATTAGGGCCAGATGTCCATCCTATGTATACATTACCTTTATTACTATAATAGCCTTATGGGGACTAAGATTAGGTGAGATGCTATCTAACAGGTTGTGATTAAGTGGAATGTATAGGAGAAAGCAGTGCCTCAACCCACAGTTCAGAATAGAACAGTCATGTTCAATCAGCAGTCAGGAAGTGTGACTGTACTCTGGTCCAGAACCAGTGGAACGCAGAGCATGATGGTGGTGGACTTCACCCAGGTCAGGTCAGGGAACTTAATTTGGACACTAAGTGGTCAGATGCAGTCACTTATAGGCCTACCGCACTCACGTGAGAAAGGTTTTGTAGACTTGACATGGTCTTGTGACATGTAATGAGTGCTAACCTCCTCTTTGGAGGACAGAGGCATGATGTTTAAGGCAACATAAAGTATCGACTTGTCAGTCATAATATGGGTTCTAACGTTACTATGTAAAATAAAAACAAGTTGAAGTGTATATAGCCTATCGCTGACAGTGATTGCTCAAGTAACATTTAGGTGCCTATGTTCGTACACAGCAATGTCAATTTACAGAGCAATTGCTGTCAGTCATATTTAAATTCAATACAGTGTAGCGCGACCCTGTGATTATAAGCGCGGATTTCGATTCTGCCACTTGGACATGCTTTTGTGGCACAGTCGATGCCGCGCTAATAAACACAGGGTCGCTACAATAAAATGGAACATTGTTTATAACAAGTTTATAAATAAAGGCTTGCATCCAAGATGCCAACAGGAGATAGGTCATTGGGTAATGAATGTCAACTTTTCTGAATGACATATCAAAATCAAACAGAATAGCATGTCATTTACAAAAACATAAACTTGAATGAACAGCTTACCGACGTTATTTTCCCCGGTGGCGTTATTAAAACTTCTTCCGCCATTTATAAATCTTTCATTAAATAGTTCCTCTCCAAGTATCGGCGGTGGGAAAAGAAAGATGCTCGAACTACTTTTTTCTTAAAGCTACCGGCATCACAGCAAACTCATGTTGAGAAGACAGGCGTGGTCATTGTTGAGACTAAAAAAACAACCCAGTTGCAGGTTATACGGTCGCCTTTTTGTTAATCTATAGCGTGTCGGCCCTCTCCTCCTTCGGGTAGTGATGCCCTCTGCTCCGGTTAACAAGTAGGCTAGAGACCAGTGTCATCACATGATGGCGAACAACGTGATGCCTAGAGAAAGACATGCTGAAATCAATTAGCTAAGTGAATTTACAAAGCCCGAGTACTACAGCAGACTGTGAGAGGAGAGAGGAAGCTACTTATAGGCCAACCGTGAGTTACAGTAGCCTAGCTGACAAAGATGAGGACAGCACTCAAAACTGTGTCATGGTTGAGTGTAGAGGTAGTGTAGAATCAGGCGCAGGACACACAGAGGTTTCGAACAGCGTCTTTAGTAAAGTCCAAAAACAAGCCACACATGGCAACAGGCTACAGGCGAACTTTACGCAAAACGGTCAAGTATGCTAAAGGCGCACAAAGTGCAGAACTCTCTCTCAAACACAAAAATACAGAGAGAACAGAAATAACGAACTAGCACACAACGTGACAATGAACAATTACACACAACACCTGACCAAACACAAGAGAACTAAATAGGACGCATAATGAACACTAACACGGAACAGGTGTAACCAACAGACAAAACCAATCAAACATAGAAACATAGAACGGTGGCAGCTATAGAAGCCTGCCCGAACAAGGAGAAGGAGCAGCCTCGGCCGAAACCGTGACAGTACCCCCCCCTTGACGCGCGGCTCCAGCCGTGCGCCGACCCCGGCCTCGGGGACGACCAGGAAGACGCGGAGCAGGGCGCGTAGGATGACCACGATGGAACTCGGTCAGAAGAGACGGGTCTAGGATGTCCCTCCTCGGCACCCAGCACCGCTCCTCCGGGCCGTACCCCTCCCACTCCACGAGATATTGGAGACCCCCCATCCGGCGTCTCGAATCTAGGATGGACCGAACAGTGTACGCCGGAGCCCCCTCGATGTCCAACGGGGGCGGAGGAGTCTCTTCTATCTCATAGTCCTGGAGTGGACCAGCTACCACCGGCCTGAGGAGAGACACATGGAACGAGGGGTTAATATTCTTGTAATCAATGGGCAGTTGTAACCTATAACACACCTCGTTCAATCTACTCAGGACTTTAAAAGGCCCCACAAACCGCCGACCCAGCTTCCGGCAGGGCAGGCAGAGGGGCAGGTTTCTTGTTGAGAGCCAGACTCGATCTCCAGGTGCGTACACTGGCCCCTCACTGCGGTGGAGATCGGCGCTCGTCTTATGTCGACGGATGGCTCGCTGCAGATGGATGTGTGCAGCGTTCCACGTCTCCTCCGAGCGCCGCACCCACTCATCCACCGCAGGGGCCTCGATCTGGCTCTCATGCCAAGGTGCCAGAACCGGCTGGTACCCTAACACACACTGGAAAGGGGTTAGTTTAGTGGAGGAGTGGCGGAGAGAGTTCTGTGCCATCTCGGCCCAGGGAACATATCTCGCCCACTCCTCCGGCCGGCCCTGGCAATACGACCTCAGAAACCTACCCACATCCTGGTTGACACGTTCGACCTGCCCATTACTCTCCGGGTGGTAACCCGAGGGAAGGCTCACCGACACCCCCAACCGTTCCATAAACGCTCTCCAGACTCTGGAGGTAAACTGGGGGCCTCGATCAGACACTATATCCTCGGGTACCCCGTAATGCCGGAAGACGTGGGTAAATAGAGCCTCAGCGGTCTGTAGGGCAGTAGGAAGACCCGGCATGGGAAGGCGACTACAGGCCTTCGAGAACCGATCCACAACGACCAGGATGGTGTTATTCCCCTGTGAGGGGGGAAGGTCTGTAACAAAATCCACCGAGAGGTGAGACCAGGGTCGTTGTGGAACGGGCAGGGGTTGTAACTTACCCCTGGGCAAGTGTCTGGGCGCCTTACACTGGGCACACACCGAGCAGGAGGAGACATAAATCCTCACATCCCTGGCTAACGTTGGCCACCAGTACTTTGTGCTAAGGCAGTGCACTGTCCGGCCAATACCTGGATGCCCAGAGGAGGGTGACGTGTGAGCCCAATAAATGAGTCGATCCCGGACCTCGAGCGGGACGTACGTCCGACCCACCGGACACTGTGGAGGGCTAGGGTCGGTGCGTAACGCCCGCTCGATCTCCGTATCGACCTCCCATACCACCGGTGCAACCAGACAAGACTTAGGTAGTATGGGAGTGGGCTCAACGGACCTCTCCTCCGTGTCATACCGCCGAGACAGGGCATCTGCCTTCCCGTTCTGGGACCCAGGGATGTAAGTGATCTTAAACACGAACCGGGCTAGAAACATAGTCCACCGAGCCTGGCGAGGATTCAGTCTCCTAGCTGCCCGAATGTATTCCAGGTTACGGTGGTCAGTCAAAATGAGAAAAGGGTGTTGAGCCCCCTCAAGCCAATGCCTCCACACCTTTAGGGCTTGTACCACGGCTAACAGCTCCCTGTCCCCTACGTCATAATTACGCTCCGCCGGACTGAGCTTTTTCGAATAAAAGGCACAGGGGCGGAGTTTAGGTGGTGTGCCGGACCGTTGTGAGAGAACGACCCCGATACCGGCTTCAGACGCGTCCACCTCCACTTGGAATGGTAAAGCGGGATCCGGGTGCGCCAGCACTGGAGCCGAGGTAAACAGGTCCTTCAGTCTCCCAAAAGCCCTGTCCGCCTCAGCTGACCACCGCAAGTGCACTGGACCCCCCTTCAGAAGGGACGTTATGGGAGCTGCCACCTGTCCAAAACCCCGGATAAACCTCCGGTAGTAATTCGCAAAACCCAAGAACTGCTGCACCTCTTTAACCGTGGTTGGGGTTTGCCAATTACGCACGGCTGACACACGGTCAACCTCCATCCTCACCCCTGACGCAGACAACTGATAACCCAAAAGGGAGACCGACTCCTGGAAGAACATACATTTCTCTGCTTTGACATACAGGTCGTGCTCCAACAGCCTCCTCAATACTCGGCGCACCAGGGCTACATGTTCGGCTCGGGTAGAACTGTACACTAGAATATCGTCTATGTACACCACTACTCCCTGCCCCTGCATGTCCCGGAAAATCTAATCTACAAAGGATTGGAAGACTGATGGAGCATTCATTAACCCGTATGGCATGACGAGATACTCGTAATGACCGGAGGTAGTACTAAATGCTGTCTTCCATTCATCGCCCTCTCTAATGCGCACCAAGTTATATGCGCTCCTGAGGTACAATTTTGTGAAGAACCGTACCCCGTGCAATGACTCCGTCATCGTCGCAATCAGAGGGAGTGGATAACTATATTTCACAGTAATCTGATTGAGACCGCGGTAATCAATACACGGGCGCAAACCTCCATCCTTTTTCTTCACAAAAAAGAAGCTCGAGGACGCGGGTGAAGTGGAGGGCCGTATGTATCCCTGTCTCAGAGACTCGGCAATGTATGTCTCCATCGCCCTCTTCTCCTCCTGTGACAAAGGATACACATGGCTCCGCGGGAGCGCAGCTCCTGCCTGGAGGTCTATCGCACAATCCCCCTGTCTATGAGGTGGCAACCGCGCCGTCTTGCTAAAGACGAGTGCCAAATCCTCATATTCGGGAGGAATGTGCAGTGCGGGCATTTGGTTCGGACTCTCCACCGAGGTCGCCCCTACGGAAACACCCAGACATAGCCCCTCACACTGAGCAGACCACCCCTTAAGAGCCCTCTCTCGCCACGAAATAGTAGGATCATGTGTAATCAACCAGGGAAGCCCCAGCACCACCGGATACGCAGGAGAGTCGATCAGATAGAGCTGAATCGTCTCCTCATGACCCCCCTGCGTCTCCATTCTAAGTGGCACTGTGACCTCCCTAATCAACCCGGATCCTAACGGACGGCTATCTAGGGCATGTACAGGGAAAGGATTATTTACCGGAAGGAGGGGAATCCCTAACTCTACACAGAATTTACGATCTACAAAATTCCCAGCTGCGCCTGAATCTACTAGCGCCTTATGCTGGGAACGAGGTGCAACCTGTGGAAAACAAACAGGTATGGTTATGTGTACGACAGAAAGCTCTGGGTAAGTGGGACGCCTACTCACCTGGGAGGACTCCCCAATGTGTGGCCTGCCTTCTCCTCCACCAGGAGACCCTCCCCAGCACCTAGCCGCGGTGTGCCCTCCACGGCCACAGTTGGTGCAGGGGACGGCCCCCCTCGGGCTCCTTCTCCTCCTTCCTCTAGCGCCAGCACCTCCGAGCTCCATAGGGCTCGGCTCGGAGGTGCTGGAGGGTGGAATGGGCAACCCCCACCCGGGACGCCCGCGGGTAGCGAGCAGGGTGTCCAGCCGAATGGCCATGTCAACCAATTGGTCAAAAGAAAGCGTGGTATCCCTGCACGCCAACTCTCTGCGGACGTCCTCCCGGAGGCTGCAGCGGAAGTTGTCTATGAGTGCCCGCTCATTCCACCCTGCATCTGCCGCTAGAGTCCGGAACTCCAGTGCAAACTCCTGAGCGCTCCTCATCCCCTGCCGGAGGTAGAATAGACGCTCCCCCGCCGCCTTCCCCTCCGGTGGATGGTCAAACACTGCACGGAAGCGGCGGGAGAACTCCGCATAGGTGATAGTTGCGGCGTCTATTCTCCTCCATTCGGCGTTGGCCCACTCCAACGCCTTGCCGGTGAGACAGGAGATGAGGGCGGAAACGCTCTCGTGTCCCGAGGGCGCCGGGTGTACGGTGGCGAGGTAGAGTTCAACTTGCAACAGGAACCCCTGACACCCGGCAGCGGTGCCGTCGTACGCCCTCGGGAGCGAGAGCCGAATCCCACTGGGTTCCGGAAGTTGGACAGGCGGGCTGACCGATGGTGATGGTGTGGTAGGTGGGGGTGTGGGTACCCCCCATCGATGGAGGGTGTTCATCACTCTGTCCAGGGCGTGCCCGATTTGGTTAATCCTGTCCTCCTGTCCACGAAGGCGCTCCTCGATGATGATATCCGTGGGTGCGGTTGCTCCTGCTGATTCCATTGAAATGGTGCGTAATTATGTCAGGGTTGAGTGTAGAGGTAGTGTAGAATCAGGCGCAGGACACACAGAGGTTTCGAACAGCGTCTTTAGTAAAGTCCAA